CCCCAAAACCCCAAAACCCCAAAACCCCATGAGTACGCATAATATAAATTCTAGAAAGTAAACTAATTGAGGGTAATCAATGGCAAAAATATTAATCATTTATCAATCAAGAAATTTGAAGATCATCTAAGTTTAAGTTTCCATCTGCGTGTTCTAGGGAAGCATGAAGATATTCATCATAATCAATCAAACCATTCTCATTTTTATCAGTTGCAATGAAGAATGCACTCAACTCCTCCTAGGATATTTGGGGAAAAACTGTCCTAACTTCGGCTGCATCTACATTACCATCTTAATTATGATCAAATGAAATAAAATCATTCTTATGCTGCTCATTATCCTTAGCTTTATCATCACTATTAAATTTTTTGTTATAATTTAGCTAGGTACCTTTGAGTTAGAGCTATTCCAGCTAATACCAAAATAACAAGTAATCTTTTTAATACCATTTTGAATAATTTATGATTATAATTATAATCTATTGAAAATTAAACCATATTAATGAAAAAAGAAGATCTAAGCAATAAAAATAATAATTTTTACTCTCAAGAAGAATAGGATAAGGATAAGAACTCTGATGAAAGTAGTGAAGAAAATGTAACATAAGTTAAATTATGTCTTAAACTTTAGAATGAGTATGATTAGTTTGTGAAGTTTAAGAAAGAGGGTGACTAATTGACACTTTATTAAAGATTTTACAATATGATCCCAGATGCAGATGAATTTTTTTCTTATCATACATAGTAAGAACTTAACGTTCTTGATCGAAGACTCGGATACGTTTTTTATACAGCATTCTTCTTTATCTTTGTCTATATAGTCATTTATGTAAGTTTTTTTCCCAATTAATTAATCTCATAGACATTTGGTATTCAAAAGCAATATTTAGTAAGAATTTAAAAAGAAGGTTTTATGTATTTAAAAGCATCAGGGGAGGCATATTCCACTATAGATGAAGTAAATTACAGCTGGGACCCAAGTAATCTTCTTTTTATGTCAATAGAGGATTAATCTGTAACAATTTAATTTGAATAATTTACTTATAGATATTTATACCAACTAAATTAATTATTGAAAGAGGTCAAGAGATCGGAGAATGCCAAAATGAAAAACTTCCTTGCAGAAAGGATGCTGATTGTACTAGGTAGAAGTATCCAGAGATAAATATCTAGGAATCATAGTGTCTGTCTTCAACTTTAAATACCAATAAGAAGTATTGTACAATGAAACAATGGTGCTTACCAAAGGATATAAAGCCAGAAGTTCATATACTGCAGAATGTAGAGCATTTTAACCTCATTATGGATAGCTATCTTTAATTTAATGATGAAATCATAAGATCACAAAGTTCAGACGGCAAATAAATAGAGTATCCACACTCTAATCCCACTTAGTTCAAATTGAATGATCTTATTTAGATCTCAGGTGTTACTAACTTTGATAAAGTAAGAGAAAAAGGAGCTGTACTCATTACAACTATTATATGGAGATGTACAGAAGAAACTGGATGTTCTAGAGGTATTGAAGTTACTAGAATGGACTAAAGTGAGGCCGGCTTCTTTGAATAAAAAACTCAATATTATGTAGAGAATGGACGACAAAAAAGAATTTTGACAAAGGCTAATGGTATCAGGATATTCACAGGAGCTAGAGGATATGTGATGGAATGGAGTTTGATAAATATTGTACTACAAATATCAAGTGCTATTGGACTTTTAATTGCTAGCAGATCACTTACGGATTTCGTTATGTTGAACCTTTTCCGAGAAAAAAATCATTACGCCAATATGAAATTTTTCAAAACTGAAAAGCTATGAATTTTTTACTATAAACTTTCCTACCTAATGAGAATAAAATTATTTCTAATACTGTTAACTAATTAAAGTGAATTGTGATTATTAACTACAGATGGGGTTTTGGGGTTTTGGGGTTTTGGGG